AGCGTACGTTACCACTCACCTACGCACGCCCCCCTCCCCCATTCCACCGCATAAACCCCCCCTCGGCCGCCCCTAACATCCAAAACGGACAATGCAACTCCCCCACAATCCACACTTTTTATCCTCACCTACCCTTCTCGGTAATTCTCCCTCCCCCCTAGAAAGAAGAAAAGAGTAAAAAAACATGGTCAATGCGGTGATTCGCGATTTCCCGTGTTACTCGCCGCCGCCGCCGCCGCCTGCATCGACGCACAAAGTGGGGATGGGGGATGTAACAAGAAAGCTTGCATAGTGTATGTATGTATGTACATATGCGGGAATGTGGGGCTAGGCTAGCTAGCTGGGGTGAAAGGAGTTTACGCCCTGGACACTGGGGGAGGAGCATTTTGGTACGGTATGTGGGTCAGAGTCTACGGTATGAGGTGCATGTATGGTGGGGTTTTTTTCTTCCTTGCTTGTGCCTTGGGAGAGGAAGTGGAATGAGGGTAGTCGGTAGTGAGTTTGGGGGATTATTGTACCATTGTCTGTTTTGGGACTAGTGCGGGTACGCGAGTTTGTGGCGTTTGCTGGGACGTGGCTGGGCCTCTCCCCGGGTGGAGCATGGTGGTGATGGGGTTATGGGTTTTGTTTGTTTGTGGGGTATCACGAAGGGTTGTGTGCATTGTGCGTATGGGATAGAGATGGGGTCATGAGGGTGAATGTTTGCTATACTGTGTGCAAGTGTGACTTGGGTGTGTGGTTCAACGGTGGATGGGTTGCGCCAATGTTGTGGCTTGTACGACATGTGCTTGTTGCGTCCAAGTCCATACTATTGCCTTGTTTAGGCTATAGATTCTGCATTGTTAGCAAGATGCATAGTCCCGGTACTAGCGCCAATGCAATGGTGCGGCTGAATGTACATATCGTATGTACATGGGTCTTGTGACAAGTTCATTTCCTTGGTATGGGTTCGCGTGCAAGAATGCGGCCATGTGCTTACCCGGATTTCGGGTGCATGTGCAGATGAGGAGGATTGTGCATTGCATATTACGCCGGCTCTAGTGGATTTTGGAAGGGAGATTAGGTAAGGATGAGGTAGATAGAGTGTTGATTGTTTGTGGCGCAGTACCAAGGCTCTAAGTAAAGGCTAGGCTGTATTAGTATACAAGTATCGATAGTGCTATAAAAGGTGTGCTCCTGCTTACAATGATCTTCTGTACATTCTATCTTTGACGAGGCACAGCACCCTTAACACTATCTATCTATCGTTCTGCGATCGAATGGAGTCGACAATGATTAAAGTGTAAAACGACTCTCTATCTTAGTTGAAGAGCACTCTACTATACCCAAGTAGCTCTCAAGTATGACTTTACGTAGCTCGGAACCACTTCTCTCATTTCCAAGGTCATGACGATTGTTGGTTGACTCTGCCTGGAGCGTGTTTTGATTTCGTTGTTATTAGATAAATCTCTCTTCATAGCGATTGCGGCTTTCGTCATCGCTTAAATTTTGCTTTGAACTGAACTTGAAATATAATGTAGGACGAACGGACGTGAGGTATCAGATCGACAATGCAAAAGCCTTTGTTTTCAATGTTTTTCTCGAAACACCTGGTAACTCAGATATGAATACATTAAACAATGTCAAGACAGTCTCATAGCCAACGACGGGCACTTCTTCTAAAACTTGTCGTTTACTCCCCATATTCGGATGGCAAAATGGTGGTATCATATAGTGAATAAGACAGTAAGAGTACCAAAAGGTTTAGATGAGTCGCCTTGAAGACAAGGGTTATGTTTGAATCTCCTTATTTTTTAGATCTCGCAAATCGTGCGACATGTGGGTTTAGCTGTAGTTGAAAGGATACAAGTATCATCTTGTGGACTACGTCGTGATAGTACTGTGGCATATCGACATAGGTCTACCTCATATAGCTGGTTGAATTCTCCGCAGATCGCAGCACTAAACTCACTCACATTTCCTTCTTGGAGAACCTCTGCATGACTGATGCGCGGATCGATGACGCAAAGGATGGGGTGTTTGTGACTAAGCGGGAGCACCAAGATGGCCGACTTCGGACATAAAAGTGCAAGTTGCCCTCTTACTCCAACAAGTATTGTGATACTCCGTTGTCGCAACATTTTGACAGACAGGACTTTACCCCAATCAAAAGGCTGCGATTTCGGAATGTTCGGCTCCAAGCGCTGCATGACCTCGAACTATAAAGCCATCAATTCATCTCCTCTTAATTCCGGCACTAACCAAAGTGACTGCCATCATTGACGCATTCATAGACCTGCTGCCTAGCACCCTTCATTTCCACATTAGTATCAACTCCACACTGCTCATTGAATTGATATCATCTTTTACAGCTCCGCATAGCCCAACATGTCCGGACCATACCTTCACGGCCACCATGCCTCTGTCCTCCGCTCTCACAGTTGGCGCACCGTGGAAAACTCCTGTCCTCATCTCCTGCCTTACCTCAACAACCCCTCACTGAAGATACTCGATGTTGGGTGCGGCCCTGGTACCATCAGCGTTGATATCGCTGCTCGAGTTCCACAAGGTTTCGTCTACGCAATCGATCCCTCCGCCGATGTCATTGAAAAAGCCCGAAAGCACGCAGAGGAAAAAGGAATAAAAAATATACGCTTCGAAGTTGGTGATATTTTCGAATGGAACAAGCTCGAGGGTGTAGAAGAGCATGGCTTTGATGTCGTACACGCGCACCAAGTGCTGCAGCATCTTCAAGACCCACTAGGCGCGATGAAGGAAATGAAACGACTAGCCAAGGCCGGCGGCATCCTTGCCATCCGAGACTGTAACTACGGCGCCATGGACTGGTATCCGGATCACCCCATGCTGCACAAGTGGAAGGAGCTCTACATCAAGGTTGCGCTGGGACTCAAGGCTCATCCAAACATTGGCAAGCAACTACATGCAATAGCGATGGAGGCTGGCTTCCCAAGAAGCGATATCGAGGCTAGTGTGGCTGCTTGGACATTTAGCACACCAGAAGAGAGGGAGTTCTGGTGCGGCCTCTGGGCTGATAGAACAGTGCAAAGCGACTACAAAAAGAGGGCGTTGGATAGTGGGCATGCGACGGAACAAGACCTGGAGGAGATCTCCGCGGCCTTCAGAGAGATGGAGAAGAAAGAAGACGGTTGGCTTGTTGTTATCAACGGACAGATCATCTGTCACGTTAGGTAATGAATCTGCATCATCACAAGCCTACGTCTGCTCTCAACAGGACGCCCGCCTTTACGCAGTGCCATCTGCTCGGTCCTTTTACGTATCCTGACTCCAGCCTAGTTACATGTATCTTCACCGGCTCGTCCCATTTCCCACGCCCCCACTCAACTACCCAATTATAACTGCAAGCGCTCTTACCGCCTGCAATCATCTGACAGATAATGCACTAGCTTCCTAATGCTGCCGTGGCTGTCTGGCCCTGCAGACGTTCGCTATATCAACCCCACCTTACCCCTCCATCCTGAGCCATCAGCGCAAACCATCAATCCACAACTTCACGAATACCAGCCCTTCATTTTACCAACCTACCGAACAAACCCGTCGGAAACCAACATGCAGTCCATCACCGTTCTCGTCAACTCCAACCACACCAGCTGCCCCAAGTGCGGCGCTGGTATCAGTGATGGCACCAAGAGCTGTGGATCTTGCGGCAGCGTATGTTCTTAGAAGAGGATGGGACGTTACCTACTATCAGATCACCGCTAATAGTCGCAGACTTGCCCTGCTTAGAGTAACTTCGGATCATTTGCATAGTGAGGCGTAGTGAGCAAGGCTGGGCGGACTTGCCCGGAGGTTGTGCATAAGCGGCGTTTGTACCAGGTTGATTGGAAGACTCATGGATATGACGAGATGCATGGACATATAGGATTAGTGAGTTTTGGAATGCAGATATGCGATTATCGCGCGACTATTGCTTCCTGTGTGGTTCAGTGAAACGAGATGGAAGTACTTCCAGCAACATTCCCACAGGCTGGTGATACATGTTGTGCATCATAGTCACGTCTTCAAGTTCTTTGCTTTGTCACATCCTTGCAAAAGGAGCTCGCCTCTTGATGAACGTTCATTTCTCTTGCGCCTTCTTCACATGCGCACACGGCAGCCCAAGCACTACAACCACTATACACCTCTTTACGTCGCATCCCTATATACACTTTCATCCAACGACCAAATGCCCTCTGTACGTCTCTGGTTTTCTCACACAAGGCCATCCCAAAAACCATGGCGTCGAGTGTTCTCAAGTGTATATAAATAGTACGGCATACGTACGTGGGGATTGTGCGACTAACAGCCGACTGTTTTCATTCAAACTCATCAACCTGACAATACCACGGAAATCATGAGACAGAAAACATCAGTACGACAGATGCGCTGTGAGACTAGAGATTCATTGTAATTATGGGAATGTTGAAAAAAAAATGAGCTGTAGTACCCTTAAAGGCATTGCTTACAGGAATAGGAGCAGCTGCAAAGTGGGTGCAGCGAAGAAGATCAAGGTGACGAGTGCTGGTGGCGTTGATAATTGAAGAGCCAGCTTCTGCCAGCCAACTTCTGGTCCGAAAAATTGGGAAGCTGGAAGAGACGGAAAGATGCTATGATCATATCCGGGTGTACGCGGTAGGTTGAGGGATTGTTACTCGATTTGTTTGTTGCTAGTATCACCTCAAGAGTTGAATCCAGGTTTGGGTTGACGGATCACCAATCAAGTACTGAAACCTATAATAAACTTGTGCTCATTGCTAATGTCTGATAAAGAGTAACATACAAGGAAACAACAATTGGAAGGAAATCTGGGTATCGCATACTGAGAAAATGCCACCATTACAAAACCAATTTCGAAATTGCCAACTCTACTTCGCAGCAGATATGATATCGTGATACTAGGTCCTGGATTGCACATTGGCTGCTACAAATTAAACCTATTTGAGTAAACATCCTGTTAGTTATGTAGGTTTTGAGAGCGTGTCTTACTGTTGACTTGTTCTTCTTCAGTAGCCCCTCCTCATCCTCAACCAAACCAGCAACGCACAGACAATCATGACAACAGCGGTCAGGAACATAAAGACGGCATCGGCTTTAGCTTCCTTACAATGGCCCTCGTATACAGCTATTTGCTTCGAGGGGTTCCTACTATATTCGTAGCCATTCCAGCAGAATCCGGGGCTCTGGCAACCGCCATTGAACCACTCGTTTTCAATCATCTTGTTTATGTTGCTGGGATCTTCGGCGCTCATTTCGCAGTCTGTGCCTGCCAGGTTAATAGCATACAGCTTTTGGGAAAGTCAGTACTTTATTCTTGCATATTTGAAGAAAAGAGCGCTGATGTTGATCAAGAGACGCGATACTTACAACACCACCGGCAAGGTTCACCAGCGCAACAACGCCGTCGATGACAAGCCCAACCATGCCACCCAGAAATTCGAACCATGTTGCAGCCAACCCTATGAATGCAGCTACAAAGGATAGCCCGCCGACAAATGCGCCATAACCCAAGCCGGCAGGAAGATTGCCCCAATGATGGCCGCGGATGAGCGTCACGCTGAGGCCTAGTACGATGATGCCAAAGAGTGCCTGTACACCGCGCAGCGTGGCATTGAAGATTGAAGATACCATATTCACTTTGGGATATGTCTCAATATTCGAATCGGAGGATGTAAGGGGGTACTCGGTGAATATGTGTCGTTTGAGTTGTCGTTTGATGCCGGGCGAAACGGAAAAGTTTATTCGCAACCACAGTCTTTGCCAAAGAGATTCGCAAAGACAAAAGCTTAGAGATGATGAAGTGAATACAAAAATGGATTTTGGAAATCAAAGGCACATGTTCACCTCAAGTATCCCCAAATATCCTCGTGATGGGCTATGCTACTTGCGGCCCCCCGTTTAAGGCGCCCACCGCAAGGCTGTAACGTGTGGCAGATATGCAATTTTCTCCCCGTTACTCTGCAACTGGCCAGGCAAACACGGCGCTTGAGTCACACAGTCCCGCCTCATAAATCGCCCATCACACTGTGTTCAGTGGATATAATGTGGGACGGTGATGTGGAGGGCTGGTTGCCTGGCATGAATCACAAAGGGAATACCCACATTTAACCGCTTTGAGCACGTAACCGCTGGAGCAAAAATGAGCCAGAGGAACAAATTTCAACTCTGTGCAATGGTATGATTAGGCCTGCAAGGGTATGCAGTAGAAAAAAACAACGAGGCTGCTTTTTCACCGGTCTGACACTAAATTTAGTCCGAGAGGATCGGCAATGTAACATGATACAGTATTGCATAGAGCGATTCGCTACTTCTCTTTGAAGTTTTCTAGTATAAAGATTCAATAAACAAATCATGCCTTTGCTGACTAGCACCAGAAGAACGAGAAAGCGATATTCCGACTGCTGTCTCATACATCGTTGTTACTAGAGCAGCTGCTACAAACATCTGTCTCAAGGTCGACCGATACCAAATGGCTTGCCTAAGAACCAATGCTGACTTCAGGCCGCCAGTATATTTGCTGCTGCCAGCACAGCCTTCACGGTCCTTCCCAAGTATTCGTTTGCTAGAGTGAAGTTACCCACAGAAACGGCTTCCGTAATTCCAGGAAAAGTAACGGGCCTGTATCCTGTATCTATTCCTGGTGCAAATAGAAGATGTTGATAGAATGGCCTTCCGGGAAGTCCGCCTTGCTTGATGAACTCTCGTCCAAGATCTCGGGCTTTGCGGTTCAGTTCCTTGATTAGACGTACATTGTTTGAGACTACAGCCATCTTACAGGTGGCATTGAATAGCTGTGCTGCTTCTTCGAATACCGCAACAGCATCTTCAAGCTGCTCGACTTTGACTGTAGCTGTTGCATTCGCAGATGAAACAAGCTTGCGGAGATCCACAAGCCACGCCTTCATCTCTACATCATAGTTGGCTGGCTCAAGCGGCACAACATCGTCGTTTACTAAGTGGAACAGCATCAAGGTCAGGAACTGTCCAATCGCCTTGTGCTTTACAAATCCTGGATCAGCAAACTTAGCCATCCAGTGATAGCTATCGAAGTTGGAGTGTGTGTGATAGATTGGATCCAGGGGCGCTCGCGTAGTACCAATATCCATGGAAGAAATCCCACCGCGGTGTACAAATGCTGCGTAGTCGCTTTGTGCACCTAGAAGATCAATCTCGCCAGAATTTTCTTCCCAAACATCGTATATTGTACGGTTCTCGCCATGGGGCCATATGACCTTCTGTGCAGTCGAAGTGATAAGGGAGTGAAGGTCGGGAGAAGCACTGAAGTCGGGGATGGTGCCAGAGACTCCAACGTCGAAGTTTAAGTAGGACACAGTAGATGATTTAAGCCAGGGAGTGTGTTCCTCAACCCATTCAGTGCTGAAACTGGTTATTTCTGAAGTTCTGAAAACAGTTTTGTGTGATTCAAGAAACACAACTTACCTTCCCACCAACCCATACTCCTCCGCATCCCAACTACAAAGAACAATCGTCCGTTTGGGCCTCCACCCAGTCTCCAAGAGCTTGCCAATAGCCCTCGCCAACTCAATCAAAATCGCTGAACCAGAATGCGGATCCGCTAATTCCTCATCAGCCAAACTCTCCAGAACCAACCTCAAAAACTCACCAGCACCGCCAACCATCCACGCATCATGATGATTCCCCACAACAATAACCTCATCCCCCTCCGTCCCATTCACAACACCAACCGCATTGTAAATCCACTCAATACCGCCCTTCATCTGATTCCTCATCTCAAGCACCGCACCAGACGGCCCACTAAAATACCCACCACCACCACCACCCTCCCTAACCCCCCGCCCCTCCAACCCCCTCAACAACCCCCTCGCCTCCCCCCACGACAACGGCAAACTCGGTATCCGCAGCAAACTCCCCATGTACATCCTCTCCACCCCCTCCTTCGACGCATGCCCCGGCGTCGTCGGATCCCCAGGATACTTACTCAGGTCCAGCACGCTACCGCGCTGTATACTCCCCGGGTTACGTGCGGGCCCAGCAGGGTACGGTGCGTACGTCGGTGGCGCCATTTCTCCGTCGTCGGCGGGATCGGTGAAGAGGAGCAGGCCGGTTAGGTTGAAGGATTGCGCGTTGCGGAGTTTGGTGCCGCGGAAGGGGCCGCCGTGTTTGGCTAGGCCGATTTTACCGGCTAGGGATATGTTGTGGGTGAGGAGCCGCTCGATATCTTGGGTTGTGGCGCGGCCTGGGGGGGTTGGGTTAGTTGGGGTTTTGTTGGAGGGTTGAGATGGGGTGGGAGAGGGAGGTGGGTGTACCGATGTAGATGTAGGGTGCTGATACGTTTCCTGAGGCGGAGTAGCCGTGGAATGCGGGGATGCGGTTTGGAGAACCGGTTGTAGGGTCTTCTTCGAGGATAGGTTCTTCAAGAGTGAGGTTGTAGGTGGTTCCGTTGGGGTATTTGAGTGCTAGGGATTGGTGGATGGGGTAGTTTAGGTAGACGTCTTTGAGTTTGTGGTCAGTGGCTGAATATGCCCATTTTCTTTTTTTTTTATCAAAGCAGGGAATGAAGACATAAGGGGACTTACGATAGCTATCTAGTCTAGTGTCGAAACCATACTCGGCCCATTTTGAAGCTGTCCATTGAGGCACTGCGCTGCTTTCTCCCGCGAGATTTCGCCTGTGAGCTAAAATTTATGAGTGTCTTTTCGGATGTGTGCTGTATAATTGGTGTGAGAATTACAGTAGTAACTAGACCAAGACGCTATTGAAGTATTGTCAAAAGACGATACTAGAATTTGTTCCTGTGGGGTCAGAGTTGGTGGGAAGATGGGTGTCGTATCACGCTGGAGCAGATGGCGATCGTGGTGTCGGCGATGGTGTTTTCTTTCACATCCTTGAATGATACTCGGTAGTAGCAGAGCTAAGAGGAGGTACATAATTTTCGATTTTGAAGGCGAGGGCAGTAACAAAGGAAGAAAGGAACAGCGGGTTAGTTACTTAAGTAGTAGATTAGCGTGCATATATGAGTAGATACGGGTCTGGTAAGTTGAACGAAACAGCTCCAATGCTTTAATCTATGTAAATATAAATCGTGCAGGGTCACAGAGAACACTTTGCATGGGTGGAGATATGATATCATGCAAAGTGGGATTCCGTCACTGGCAACAGGCCCAGTCCGGTTGATCACAATCGTGGACCATAATCCATATAGCAAATATCATATGGAATCAATTCACACCTCACAACCAATCATCCACCATCCATTCGTGTCAGGCACACAAAAAAAAGGGATCAACACCTAAGCGCTCACCTCAACAGCAGACACTTCAACAGCATCCTTGACCCCACCCTCAACGACACCCACCTCCCTCTGCGCCACATAAACATCCCCCTCACCCTCATGCATCCCCCCAAGCAACAACGACCTCGGCGCAGCCGCCTGCTCAGCCGGCGACCCCAAAAACGCCAAGAACTTCTCGTCATGCCACTGGCGCGACGTAACATACCTCCCCTCACTATCCCGAAACATAGTCTCGTCCTCGGCCCGCAGAAAGTACGCAACAGAGTACCTATGCTCACTATAATTGTACGGTACAACGCGGTGGATACACGATTGAAATTCGTGACCGCTGGCGAAGCGTAGGGAGTCGCCTACGTTGATGATAGCTTGGCCCTGTTTGGGCTCTACGAAGCCGAATTCTTTGGTGCCTGGTGGTCGGATTTGGAGACCCCATTGTTCGGTGAAGAGGACGGTGAGGGAGCTTATGTCTGTGTGCTTTTGGTGGCCGACATTGCCGTCTTTGGAGGGGTCGGATGGGATGTAGTGCATCATGGCTAGAGTGCTGGTCGAGGGACGGTGGTTGCGGTGCAGATTCTCGAAGCGGGATGAGCCTGTGAGACTGGACGCGGTGGAGAGAGCGGCCAGGATGACTTTACCGATAATGTTGTTGGCGGAGATGGCGCTCTCGAGGGTCTTTAGGTCGGCGCTGTTCTTGATGTTGCGTGGGATGTGGGGAGATTCGCGTTGGATCTCATCGCGAGAGATTTTGACCATTTCGTAGCCGTCGCGTGTGTCTTCGAGGACGCCGTTGCGGGAACCGACGGGCTCGTAACTGGGACCTCTTAGTGACTGTGGAGGTTTATAGGGAGGGGTCTTGTTTATGGGCTTACCCGAGATGAGGAGAGATAAGTCCATACTCGTTCTTCACCTCAATCGGAGCTTCGAAGAACCTGTGCATGAGCTTCAGAAGCCCCTGGTGGTCATCAAGAAATCGGCGTCCGTCAACATTGTTGAGGTCCAGGTAGAAGAAACCTTCGTCTTTGCAGCATTGTAGGAGCTTCTCGAGTTCCGCGGGCTCCTGAGATAGGAGTGCAGAGAAGTCGATAGTCTCCATGGGGTAGACTGGGACTTGCTTCCCATTCCACTCGACCTTGCGAAATATATCGTTTGATGAAGCCATAGTTTTGTTACGTCTTAGAGGAACTGGTGTGATGATTTTGCTATGAGGTTTCTTTTGACAAAAGCTGTCACATACAATAGTCTGTACGAGGGCAATTTATATCGAAATCAACTCCACGCTGCAAAGACATAGTGAAGGATCTTCTGCTCAGGGACTCGTTGATTAAGCCTTCTTACGATGAAACTCGGCATGTCTTTTCTTTGGAAATATCGATTAGTCCTAGATTAAGCCATGTCACTCTTGCTCCTGGATCTAGACGACAGAGTCGTATACCCCACATACTTTGCAGCTATCAAGTATACGATGTAGCCGACACAGATTCCTCATCCATTCCAACTGGTACAAATCCATCCAGATGTCTTGGCTGACGACTTGGATCGCCATTGAATTGATCAAGATGCCTTTGACCCCGCATCGCAATGTGCTTCTTATGCTTCACGCAATCGCCTGAGCCGAGTTGAGTGGCTGCCTCTTGCGTATCATTTATCCATCGTATGGGTAAAGAAGATTGACACTCTGTTATGAGAAATCACAGCGTACACTATACAAAAACGGCAGTTGGGAAGCAACTGCCGTTGCTAAGGTTGGAATTTGTGGGGCCTCCACAGTGGGGAGGCCAACGCGTGGGACGACTTACTGCCGGCATAACATGTACGCATCCTCATGACTTGGACAACTAACAATTTGAAAGAGTTATTGTTACTTGAATTGAAATATGTAAGAAATTTGGTCTACATAGAATATTTTGTTACAGACACGTCCCGCCATGCTAAAGGCATTTACAGCTTCATGCCCAGGACCTTGTGTACCCTCAAAGCTTGCCTGATGCTCAAGTCAAGCATAATCTCCTCACTACCACCTGGAATAGCATATGCCCTGACATCCCTGTATAGCCTTTCGACCTTGGCGCCCTGTCCGCCTCTGCTATAACTCAAGCCACCAAAGATTTGACTTGCTTCCCTGGCACAGAACTCAAATGTTGTTGTGCTCTGGGCCTTCAAACTGGCAATAGCACCTCCAAGCTTGAGCATAGCCTCCATGTCGTCCATCTTCTCGCACTGGTAGATGAGGTTCTCCATCCAGTTGTAACTGGCCTCAATCTGACGAGCCATGTGCGCGAGCTTGAGACGGATGACGGGGTGGTCAATGAGACGCTTGCCGAAGGTCTTGCGCTTGTGTGCGTACTTCATGCTCTCTTCGTAGCATACACGAGAGAAGCGGAGACATTGAATGATGATGCCGATACGCTCGTGGTTGAAGTTCTAGATGATGATTAGTGGGCATCTCAAGGCGATTCAAATGATTGACTTACGGTCATGACGACCTTGAAACCCTGGTTTTCCTTTCCGATGAGGTTCTCGACAGGGACCTTGACATCTTCAAAGGTAATGTAGGTGGTACCACTGCTCCACACACCCTGGCAGTCCATCTTACGCGTAGAAACACCACCTGCGCTGCGCTCAATCAAAAGGACTGAAATACCGTTCATGCCCTCGCCGCCAGTACGAACAGCGGTGGTGAAGTAGTCGGACCAAATACCGTTTGTGATCCATTTCTTCTCACCGTTGACAATGTAATGTTTGCCATCCTCGGAGAGCTTAGCTTCACAGGTCAGGTTCGCGACATCACTGCCGGCATCTGTGGGAATGTCAATTTCAACTTTCTAGATACAAAAGGCGGGGACTTACCTGGCTCGGTGATTGCCAAACAGATCCTCTTCTTTCCGCTAAGTAGATCGGGACCAATGCGCTGGACAAGCTCTTTCTTGCCAAACTTGAACAGAGGCGGTCCGCCGATTCCGTATCCACCGATCAAGCCCCAGACGAGACCACCACTGCCCGTCCTTGATATTTCATCGGTGATGATCATCTCATGGAAGTGATCCCACTTCTCTGGTGGTACGCTGTTGACCCTCAGGTCGGTGTATTGTGTAGGGTACTTGACGCCCAGCATACCAGCGAGGTATCCTCGTGCTCCCATTTCGAGGAAAATCTCATCTGGTACCTTCTTTGCTTCATCCCACTCTGTGACGTATGGCATGAGCTTCTCCTCAACCCAGTCGCGGACTTCTGCGCGTAAGGCGGCGTGCGTCTCGTTGTAGTAGGGAGAGTGATACTGATCTTTGTGTTAGCCGAGGCTCATGGGAATCATTGAAAGGCGCATCTGTGGACATACAGTTTGATACCACGAAGGGTCCGCATATGGGACGAGGTCACCATAGGAGTCGAAAGGCTCCGACTCCTCCGCAGCTTGAGTTGGCTGAGGTGCAACGACTCCGGGATTTGCCTCTGGCTTAACAATCTCCTTCTCTGGAGCAGCAGCCGCGGGAGGAGCTGGAGGAGCAGCCTTGGTGTCGAGTGATCCGACTAGCAGCTGCTTCTGGTACTTCTTCAGAATGCTCTCGTTGTGGTACTTCCAAAACTGCTTTGAAGCATCCTTGCCAGCTACTCGCTGGAGGACTTGAAATCATTAGCTTGGACCGCGGAATCCGTAAGATAGGGCTCAGCGTACTCTTTTTGCCGCCAGGGTGGTCATCCTGGAACTTGGTAAGATCGTAGACATCCTCGTCTACAATGATCCACAGGTCGTTCGCAGTCTTGTGCGACGCGACATCGGCGGTAGAGAAGCGCTTCGCCATTTTTCTCTAGATTGAGAATACAAAGGGGGAGCAAGACGAAGGGATGAAAAGCAAAAAGATGAAGGAAGAAGGATCACAAGACGACGATGGAGACACTTCTAGGCTTATAAGAGGATTAGCATGGTTTCGCGCTACTTTCACATGCTCGCAATTACTCCACGCCAAGGAATCCGGGGAAGCATGCCATCAGCTGAAGGCCGACCGTGAATAGCGCGTTTGGGGTACTGCGACCGCTCTCGTGTGATCTTGTGCGTGGATTTAGGGGCGTTGCTATTGGTGGAGCTGGCCCATGAGCGGCTGACTTGCTGGTTGAGGGCAGACGTCATTCACCAAGATACCGAGGTATGCCGGATTGGGAAGGCTCACGTGGGGCGGCTCAATTGTTGTTCCATGCAGGACAAGGATCCGCAGCGCCGAGGGCATCACATGTCAGGACAATGGTGAGGTTCAGGTGCCAATGGTCCGATGCTCCCTGACAGAACGCGTCGCGGCTTTGCGTGTGCACACGTTGTAGCCATGCCATTTCGACGATTGCTTGGGCGTGGGGTCTCCGCATCAATTGCCGTCCTAGTGTGACGACCGTGACTCTCGCAGAACTGAAATAGCCAGACACTAAGCCACCATCAAAAATGGTAAACTACTAACAAGAAATTAGCCCTTTCCCTTGTCTACGGTATCCGGCTATTTCTGTTCCGCGAGAGCGTGATTGGCTTTTGTAATTAGCTATATCCGACAGACGGGGGTATTATGGTTCCAAATTCGCAATACTCCGATTGCCAATAGTAGCAACGGCTTCATACAGTTACATAGCCGTCTACACTCTAAGTATCCCTCCGGCACTCTGTTAAGGATATGTCTGGCATTTCAAGAGCTTTTGTGTAGGTTGCGAAAATCAAGTTCGCCCTCCACTGATTTATAGTTGTTAGAGTTTTCCTCCTAGTCACGACAATAGCTTCACTAACACTACGGTTGTCCCGTACTCGATAGTTAATTCAGAGAAAGCTTCTACGGCACCAAACCTCAATGAAATCATTTCCAGTCGATGTAGTGTCTCGATCATCCCAGTAAGACCCCTCTTGAACACAATACTTCCAACCTCCGCCTCCGCCTCTGTTTATCCCTCCCGCCTGCCTTACACACGCATTACCATTTATTTGTGGAATACCCATACCCGGAACTGATTTCCGGTGCGCTTCGAATTGAGGGATACATTGTAAAACCTTAATCCCCTATCACTTGTGGGGGGTAAGCAGTATGATTATCAATATAGCTAAACATAAGCTATGATTGTAGGAATAATGCGTACGCAGAGAATATGGCCTCCAGCATTCTCGCATCAGCCGGCTGGCTCACCCACTGGTCCTTATTCACCAGTCCCACAGCACAAGTAATCTAGAAAATGTTGTTAGAAGCTGTCAAGAGGAAATGGGTGAGACAATATCAAAGGTAGCAGCGTACCCGCAAATGTCTGCTGAGGTGCAAAAATCAACAATCCAGTGATAAGAAGATACTTCATGTTGTGAAGTTGAAGAGAGTGAGATACAGATATGTTACTTGAGTGACAGTAGCTATTTCACCCGAGTGAGACCAAGGAACATGTAGCAGCTAGAATGGTAAATGCTTATGGGTGCTTATAGAGTCATGTGTATGTTAACGCAACGCATTCCATAGTAAAAGTACCAGCCTGATACTAAAACTGTGTTTGTGAACCATGTGGGTCAACTCGTATTTGATATGTAGACTCGTGGTCCAGAATATAGAATAGCGATGCCAGATGAGTGTATCTTCATTTCGGTCTTGATACGTTAACAAACGGAAGTGTCTTGTAGTCGTCCTTGCCAACACAAGCAGTCTTGATCACCGAAGTACTACTACTGAAGCTTAGCCAGACCTGTGCTGCGTACGGTCTTCGTCCTTGTTGCTACGGCTAAATACTATTGATTCTTGAATGTGAAATGCGGACATAGTAGATGGGATTCCATGTAGAGTCATTTTACATATTAGCTGAGTTTTGGCGGTAATCCGGTATTCCCTTGTACAATTCCTCCAATACGCAAGTGCTTTTATGTCAAGTCGCTTGCTTATGGACTAGTATATGGCCGTATTGCGCGTATCACATATACTTTGGTTTCCCCTGAGGGGCGCAATCCGTGCACTCCGATTGGCGCGCCCGATCGATGAGCCTAGCTCATATACGGCAACACCCGAATTTGGAGGTCCATGTTGTCAACAAACATTGAATTTCTCCTTCCGCCCTCTTATGCCATTGGCTCCCCACACCGCCTCCTTGGCTGCAATGCATGCTCTGTGACGAAGCACAATTGCCCTTTTCTTTCTCTTTTACATATTTTGAAGTTTGCATTACCTTTTGCCTTCGTCGAGGTTTCCAAGCGCCGCCTTGTACCTGAGCGCCCCTGAAACCACACACCGCCACTGTTACCCGCACAACAATCATGTCAATGCGAGTGACGCGATCCCAAGCGGGCAAGACCCCGGTGTAAGTCGAAGTATAAATGCACAAAAAAGGCTGACTGCTGACATACACGGCACAGCAAGCCCGAACGTCCCGGTTTTGTTGAAACTCCAGGGCGCAGGAGGTCACAACGGCGCAAATCAGCCGTGGCCGACGCCGATATATATGAATCGACCCCAGAGCCTGAGGAAGCCTTCGCAAAGTCCTTGTCATCCACCGACGGCACCATGCCCCCCAAGACAGCCCACACCAATGGCCATGCCAACGGAAATGGAACTACCAATGGACACGTCAACGGACACGCCAATGAACATGCAAATGGACATGCAAATGGACACAGCAAGCAGGAAAAGATCGAATTGGACTTTGCATTCGAGGCTGAAAAGTTTTTTGCCCCCAAGGATCCTTCTGGTCTGCATGAATTTGGAGGTGCAATTGGAATGGGCAGTATGATGATCTGCTTTCCTGCACTCATGTACTACATGTGGATTGGAGCCGCTTTTTACGACGGCAAATTCCCTACGCGTACCCAAGGCCAGAGCTGGTCAGACTTCTTTGGTCACATGTGGTATCTTGTTAAGACGGAAGCATACCCCAACAACAAGGCATGGCAAATCTACTGGTTCTTCGGACTGATGCAAATGGCTTTTTACATGTTTATGCCGGGTGTCTACCGCAAGGGCAAGGCGCTTCCTCATCTGGGTGGAAAGCAGTTGGACTACTACTGCTCAGCAATGTGGTCCTTCTACTCTAGCGTCGTCATCATGCTGGCTCTACACTTTGGCGGCTACTTCAGGCTTTATACCTTGGTTGATGAGTTTGGCCACATCATGAGCGTTGCCATCATCTCTGGCTTCCTCTGCTCGACCATCGCATACGTCTCTGCTCGCGTCCGTGGCGCAACCGTCCGCATGACCGACAACTTCATTGTCGACTTCTTCCTCGGTTCTGAGCTCAACCCCCGTCTCTTCGGTATTTTGGACTTTAAGATGTTTCTTGAAGTCCGCATCCCATGGTTCATACTCTTCTTCCTTTCTCTCGGCACGTGCTTGAAGCAGTACGAGCAATACGGCTACGTTTCCCTCGAAGCCATCTTCCTCCTATTCGCACACTACCTCTATGCCAACGCCTGTGCAAAGGGCGAGCACCTCATCATTACAACCTGGGACATGTACTACGAGAAGCTTGGTTTCATGCTCATCTTCTGGAACATGGCTGGTGTGCCTTTGTCGTACTGCCACTGCACCCTGTACATCGCCTACCACCACCCCTCCGAGTACGACCTGCCGACCTGGTTCACCGTTCTTCTGACTCTTGGCTACCTCTATGCCTACTACATCTGGGACACGACCAACTCGCAAAAGAACCAGTTCCGCCAGGAGGAGCGCGGTGTGGTTGAGGAGCGTACCACTTTCCCCTACTTCAAATACGGCCGCATCGAGAACCCCAAGACTATCCAAACCGCCCACGGAAACAAGATTCTTGCCGATGGCTGGTATGGAAAGGCACGCAAGATCCACTATACTTGTGACTTGTTCTTTGCCATCAGCTGGGGTCTCATTACCGGTTTCAGCAGCCCGTTCCCTTGGTTCTACTCGGTCTTCTTTGCCGGCATGATTATTCACCGCGCAATGAGGGATATCGAGAAGTGCAGGGAGAAGTATGGTGAGGCATGGAAGGAGTACGAGAGGCAGGTGCCTTATCTTTTCATCCCAGTAAGTCGACATGTTCTCTTTGGCACATGCATCTCTTGCTAACATTTTTCTTACAGTACGTCTTTTAAGTACGCAACTAAATCGGTTTCATTCGAAACTCCATCTTATCTGTCCATATACAGTTTCTGGCTCACGCCTCAGCTCACTCGGAATTAATCGTGTACATGATTTTGATTCATGCCATGTTCGTCGGACTTTGCGTGTACTATACTGGATGGCTGTATTTTATCTCTAATGGTAAGGGGTTCTGTGTATAAAAAGACACTAGACGAGGATACGTATTGTAAATGGTTGTAATGGAGGTAGTAATGCATATATGAAGTTTATCACCGATAATGTTATTTGTTCACACTTGCACTGACTGGAATCTTTGGCATGACAATGAGTTTAGAAAAAGACCAAAATATTAAAATAGCAAGATCTATAGTAGAAAAGTTGACAAGCAAAGAGATTTATCCCCTGCGTCTCGTGCTTGGGCTCTTGCCAGCCGCGCGACCGGTGGACACGGAGCGCGTTGCCTCCTTCTTCTCGCCCCCAGCGACAATGGGCTTCTCGAGTTTCTTGGACTGAGTCTTCTTGGATGCAGGCGCATTCCAGTAGTACATGACCTGGAGGAAGAGGATAACATTGAGAGCAAAGCCAGCAATGAATCCGTAGAGGATGAGGGGATCATCGACTTCCTGGATAGTGGTGAAGATGCGAGAGAGGGAGCCGAGAAGGTAGTTGATAACCTACATCACACAACACGTTAGTCCTGATACCCCCCAAAAAAGGGGTGATATGATGAGAAGTCCGCACATAGAAAGGCGAAAAGGAAAAAAAAAGAAGACCAACTTACAGCAAAAGCACTCAACTGACCCGTACCGCCCTCACTCCACACCGTCAAAATCTGGGGCACCTTACTCGCAACCCCCAACACACCGGCACTCGCCTGCAAAATCGCCAACCTCTCCTCACCCACAAGCTCCTCATTAAACAGCGCCGCGCCCGCCGCCATCAACCCACCCACCCAAGCCGCAATGCCCAAACCCCTCCCACTATATTTCAGCACAAGACTCGCAATCGCAATATTCTGCACCAGAATCAACGCCGTCTCGCCAAACGTGCTAAACGGGAACCCATGGCGCACGTTGTACGCGAGCGAAATCAAGTACGAGCTGGATTCGAGCAGGTAGGACAAGAACGAGAGGCCATCTGCGGATTGCGAGTTGAGCAGTTTGAGGAGCTGGGGGATTTTGACAATGGAGGAGGCGCCGATGATGCCGATGCCGAGGCCTTTGGATATGCCGAGTTTGACGCATTCGGTGGCGCTGAGGTCGACGTTGTAGATAAGGGTTTGGTAGCAGGTTGGGCCGAGGAGCGAGATGCCGATGTCTGCGATGGGTTGGGGGAGGGCGCGGGTTAGGGGTTGGAGCGTGGATTGGAGGGCTTCCATGGTGAATGTGGGGTTGATAGTATGTGTGTATGTATGCGCCTGGCGGAAAGGGGGGGTGAGAGAGAGAGAGAGAGGGTTTGGGTGGATTGGCGGGAAGGACACTTTTCGGATGCCGATGTTAGAAACAGGGTCCAACAAAAGTGTCTTGTTCAAAGGATCCACTGACGCAACGCTTGGCGTTAGCGTGCAGGGGGGTCCAACCATCACCTACATACGCGATCTGCTCCCCCAGAAAAAACATAAGTAAAGATTACATATAAATCGGATTGCACTTTTATGCTACAAATTTCCATGGCACCATTTCCTCTAGGGAAATTGAATTCCTGTCATGATGATCCCCGTTCCACACAACTCCTTGTTCCCAACCAAGACGCGATGCACGCGCCTCGTCCTAACCATAGCAACTCTTCGTACGCTCATCGGCACACCAACTTCTGCCAAGAGAAGAGAATGCGGATATTTGGGAAATTCAATCCCCTCCGCCAATACATTGTTGCTCATAGACAACCGTGCACCTCAGCCCTTCTTCATATTTGCTGGGGCATGTTTATAGCATGTGGAGGCACAGGCGTAATATCCCTTCGATCAGACAGGTCTCCCGTTTGAGACATGGGCTGTTGGTTTTGTATAATGGCATTATGTGGAGGAGGTGGTGGTGTAGGAACAGGCGAGATACCGGCAGGTGGATGGTATCCTGTATCCGTAAGTCTACCAGATACTGGGTTGTAGACGCCGGTCCTAGATTGAAGCTCGTAGTTTTCGTCCTCTTCCGAAGACGAGTAATCATAAGTGTCCATCCGGCGTTGGCGTGCGACATCCGCGGCGAAAGGATTGGTAGAGGGCAGTTGATTGGTGTACCTGTTGACCTTGGAGGAGATACCGGATGTCATGGTTTCGGTTCGGTAATTACTCGATGCGCCCGTGTCACTTCGGTTTACGCCATACTGAGATCCCGATTCCTGTCGTCTTCGCTGAGAATTATGAATTTGTTGGCGAAATACATTTCCTCCAACATCAGCGTCTGGAGGAACCACGGCTGCGGCAGAATACCCCGATGCTTCCCCACGCTCTTCGTCTACTGGCTTGTTGATATCTCTTAACGTCTGCACGTCGTCATCCATCATCATTGGTGCGTGTGGTGGTGGTGGTGGTGGTGCGCGTGATGCTTTGCCCCAGGCACGAATAGGATATGCGCGTCCCTTGCGCCAGGTCTCAGAAACAGGAGGGAAGTATTGTCGGTAGGAGCCCCATGCTACGAGTATGCCAAGCAGGGCGCCTGAAATGACATCGAAGGGGTGGTGGCGGGCGTCCATGATGCGGGTTCCGGTAATGAGGGCAGCGCCGAGTGCGGGGACCATGACAATGAACGTTCTCCAAACCTCACCCTTGGCGTCCAAAACGTGGAGTTTGCCGGCAAGGTAAATGGAGAGATAGAACAGGCCGGCAAAGGAAACTGGGAAATGTCAGTAAAATTACCATGCAAGATAAGTTAAATACTGTACCGCTGCTGTGTCCAGAGGGGAAGCTCTTGAAGCCATCTTGCAGAATGTAGTTGTCCTTTTGGGTGCAAATGTCAATGGTCTGAAGGGCGTAGCGCTCCGTGTTAATCTTGGCTTGGTCCACAAGACACCTGTCGGCTGTCAGTCAACGCTCCTAGTGTGCCTGAGACCAAACTGACCGGCTAATGAGGTCCGGCCGTGGCTTTCCAATAGCATTCTTCAAAGCTCCAGTGATTGTAAAAGCAGCGCCAACACTCAGGGCCAGCCCAAGTATACCGCAGTTCAGCTCCCACAGCCTATCCTTGAACCTGTATCTTCCCGAAAGACGCTTGAGTCCGGTGCGATTGGCAGGCGTAGCGGCCTGATGCGAGAACAGACCATCGATGACCATAGTGTATATGCCAATGATGACAGCGGGGGCGAGGATGACGTAGACACATAGCCATATGACGGGCACGCGCTCTTTGGTGGCGAAGGGGTAGTGGAGGGTGTAGTTGTCGAGCGAGAAGTGCTGGTGGAAGGGGGGGATCTTGTCGACAATGGCAAAGGTAAGCATCAAAACGCTGTGAGGGTGATTAGCCTTGGTAATGAGCCGGGAAGGAAGGAGGTCGTGTGCGGCGGAAGGGGCGGCCCTACATGATTATGAGATAATCACCGATATACCTGCTCTGGTCAGCACTCAATACGCCTGGATGGTTGCCGGCTCGACGCACGAGAAAATGACTTTCTTGGAGAGGCGCTTCTTGGAGAAGGGCAGGCGCTCAGGGAGCTGCTTGGACGTCCAGTCGTCCATGGCGCACTACAGAGCCCGGGCGGCCGTTGAGAAGCAACAGTGCTTGGTCGTTTCCAGCCGCAGCCGCAAGTGTGAGGCCCTGCTGGTGGGTATACACCACGCTGGTGGGCGGTGAGAGGCGCGGTCAAAGGCCAGGGGGAGGGGAGACTTGGGAGGCTCGCGGACGGGGTGAGCCCAAACATGCGGCCCTCGCAGAGAGGCGCGTGGGAAAAGAAAAAGAGGGAAATGGGGGCAAGGCAGAGTGCGGGAAGACCGTATAAAACAACGGACGAGATGGAAACACAGTCGTATTTGCCCTTGGCTAGCACCGCCCCAAGAAAGCTCAAAGGAGCATGTCTAAGAGGACGACCACGCCCTCCCTGTGTGCTTGCAGGGTGGCTGAGAAGCTGACGCGCTCCCATCGCTTGGCTCTCCACAGCCTGGCCGCTAGCCGCCTCGAGATCAGCGTTTGGTTGAATGAAGCGACCTTGGATGCCGGCCGGAGCTTTTTGGGTATATTTAGTCGTGCCTCGGTGCGCTTGGGGTTAGGGAAGATGCATGCAGCGACTGCTTCTGGCCCGGCCTGTCTGCTATACGCCCAGCAGGGCCTCGCTGGCCGCTCTCATCCACACATGGTCGTGACAATAGGCGTAGGCGACTGCATGTGCCCCGTCTTGCTTGCATCCATCGCCCCGACTTAGCGCGCGTTGGCGATCGACTTATTTCGTCGCCGCCTCAGGGTCCGACTCTCTGCTCGTACATCAATTCCTGCCTCGCCGCAAACCCGCCATGTTCTCCAGGTTCGCCAACGACAAGCAGCCGGCTCCCAAGGCCGCCGAGGTCGCAATCGCCAAAATCTCAAACATCTCGGCAACCCAGCTGTCCCGCTTCGAGCGTCTCCCAAAGATTCAGCGTTATGCCATCCTCGGCGCCGCCTCGGTCGGCGGCCTGTCCCTTCTGTGGGCATTGACTTCCTCATCAAAGCCTGCAAAACGACTGCCTATCCCCTCTCCCCGTCGTTCCTTGCTACCCGACATCTCGCCTGAGGATGTTGCCGACCTGCCCTACCATCCCGCTGCTTTACCAGGTGCCCGGGACGTGGATTCGCCCTTTGGATCTATCCGCGTTTACGAATTCGGCCCCAGGGATGGTGAAAAGGTTCTCCTAATCCACGGCATCTCGACCCCAAGTATCGCTCTGACCGATCTTGCGCACAAATTGGTGGGCAGGGGACGACGTGTCATGCTCTTTGGTGGGTCTTTCTCTTGTTGTCATCGTCATCACTAGCCTTTGGACCATCCATCTTTGCCCATCGTCAACCCGACATGACAAGGAAACCCCGTGTAGGCGCGACCCAGCGCATACATCTGTTCCCAGAACTCTTTTGGTCGCACAATGTATGGGCAATACCCCGCGCCCACGCTGGATCGTCCTTTGCGCATGGGCTTTGCCTGTTTAGGTAAGGGTCCCGCCAGCCCTACCAAACGGTGAAGCACGTGCGCCGCACGTCCGATCCTGCATCAGATCTACACAACGGCTTCAAGTCATAGATTATGGACATGTTGGGGGCCTGAGGCTGAATGTCTTTGGAAAAGTTGTTCGACGCCCTTGCATTCTGCCATTGTTTCATTTCTATCACATAACACTGCAAAGCTAACCAATGGACCAGACCTCTTTGGCCGTGGATACTCGGATGGTCCCTCGCCTGAGACTACCAATTATGATGCCACCCTATACACCACCCAAATCATGCTGGCCCTTCAGTCATCATCACTGCATTGGTCAAACTTCACCATTGTTGGCTATTCCCTAGGCGGTGCCATTGCTGTTGACTTCACATCCTACTTCCCTCACCTGGTCAAGGGCCTTGTACTCGTCGCCCCAGGCGGTTTGATCCGCAAGTCACACGCCTCAATCTCAAGCAAGATGCTTTACAACAGCTCCTGGATGCCTGAATGGATGGTCCGTAGACTAGTCGCAAGTAAACTCTGGACCGGCGCCAAAACCGTCGAGACCGACCCCGAAGCCATTGAAAATGCCGAGACCACAACCACAACCACCAGAAGCGAGGGCGACAAAACCTACGTCTCAAGCAACCAAATGCTCCTACCCGGAAACCCACACAGCACCGTCTCATCCGTCGTAGACTGGCAAATCAAAAACCACAAGGGCTTCATCCCAGCATTCATCTCTACCATCCGTCACGCCCCCGTCTTCAACCAGCACGACCGCTGGAACGTCATCCGTGAGAACATCGAATCCCGCGCCGGTCCCCTACGAGAAGTCTGGCTCGTCCTCGGCGAAACAGACCCCATCATCATCGCCGACGAGATAACAGAGGACGCGCGCGCCGCCCTGGGCGAAGAAAACCTCCGCGTCAAGGTCCTCGACGGCGTCGGCCACGAAGTCGCCATCGAGCGCGCCGACGACATCGTCCGCGTCGTACGCCGCATCGACGGCAAAGCCGAAGTCCGCGAAGTCAGAGAAGTCCGGGAAGAAGAGAAGCCGGAGCGCTACGAAAAACCCGAAAGGCCCGAGAGATCGGAGAGGTCTGAGAAGCCTGAAAAGGCAGACAAACCAGAGAAGACGGACAAGAGCGAGAAGAAGGAGAAGAAGAGCTCGAGTCGGAGGAAGCATGGGGGGTCGCATGCTAGTTCTAGCACAAAGTAAGGGGCTTGTGTGTATCACTGTGCATCCTGGTTGGTGCCTTGACATACAAATCACCTGAACAATCTAAACAAGTCTATAAAAGATGAGAAATAAACATGTATAACGCATTATGATGTTCGGTTGAGAAGTTAGAATGACGTCATAAAATACGACCTGTCAAATATTCATTTCACTGCATGTGACAGTAGATCTTTCTTCCTATATGGAGCATTCAGATGCGTATAATACAGTAAAGATTGGAGACATGTGACTGGCAGTCGAGTGTTCAAGCAAGTAGAATCTCACGCCTTTGGCCTCCCCTCCACAAGCGCCAACTGCCTACGTTCCTCCTCCTCCAACTCCCCAGCCTCATAATACAAATCCTCCTCATCAATATCCGCATACCCAAAAACACTCCTATAAAGCCGCTCGCCCAGCCCCTTCTTCTGCGCCATAGCCAACACCATGACAATTGGAAGGTGCCAGATACTCGCCCAGAACAGACCCCTCGCCGTGCCCTTGTTCCCCTCAGCCTTCCAAAACTGCCAAGCCTTAAGCACCATCCAGCCATTGACTGCGCTACTGGTGACTACGTAGCTCCAATCGGTGACGCCGCTGTACGACAAGCCAATGCAAATGGGAAACATGAGAATGGCATATCTGAGCGCAACACGACCGTTCATGGCGGGATTAACCCAGGCCAGCATGCGATACCCCGCGTTGCGGTACTCGTCGCGGATAGACCAGCTCAACGCGTTGAAGTGGGGAAACTGCCAGGCGTACAGGAGCGCGGCGCATAGCCAGCCGCCAGCGGATCCCTCGCCGAATAGCAGTTCCTGCCATGTGCCGTCGTGGGCGTACTGGTTCGCAGCCGCCGTCCAGCCCATTAACGGTGGAATTCCTCCGACTACGGCGCCCACCCATGTGTTGAGCACGTGCATGCGCTTCATGGGCGTGTACACGCCGGCGTAGAGGACAATGTTTGCTGCGCCGAGAAACGCCGTGGTGGGATTGACGCCGTAATATAGTGCGCCGGTGCCGAAGACGCCGCAGGCAATGGCGAACGCAATGGCCCCGCGTGGGCTGATGAGTTTCCGGACGAGCGGCCGGTTGCGCGTACGGCTCATTTTGGCGTCGTGCTCGGGCTCCATGAGCATGTTGAGAGCATTTGCGGAGGCCGAGCAGAGCGCTGTCCCCGATGTAAGGAAGAAGAGTGTAAGGGTTGAGAGCGAGGGTGTGGCGGTTGCAGCGGGAGCTAGCAGTCCGGGGACGGGGTATAAGGAGTATGCGGCAGTAGCAGTGAGGACGACGAGGAAGGAGAGGCGGGGTTTCGATAGTGAGAGGTAAGTGGTTAAGAGGCGCTTTAGAGATTGATTCGGGAGACTCGAGGATATGTTTGCTAGTTTCGACGACGCATCGTGGGGGATGGGATAGGCTGTCTCCGGATCTTCCATTGCCTGCTCTTTGGCTTTTTTCCGCCGTCTATGTGGGAGGACTTCTTCTGCTGTGGCCGTAACATTCTCTTTATTTGGCTGCTGTCCATTTCCCGATCGTATTGAAACGATTGAACTCTGCAACTGGTGTTTCGATGTCCAAAACGAATCCTTCAATAATGGATTCGCCCGGAAATAGCCGTTGGCGAAGATGTTGGTGTCTTTCCCGGCAGTCACAGCACTGGCTCTATACGACGAAATCGACGAGAATGCCTGCCGTGACTGTGGCGGCGCTTTGGAAAGCCTCCGCCAGCATCGCAGGCATACTGAGTTTTTGTCCCGCACTGCAATTGGCCGGGGCAGTAGTGGTCGGAAGCTCATGGCGGCATGGGGGGTTGAGCTCCAGCGGACGGCCAGTTTAGAGGTCGATGATGAACTTTTGGGAGGCACATGGACGCAATGCCAAGACCCCGCAGCACCAGCCACTCAGCCATCGCCCATTAACATTAGCTACTACAACACTTACTAACCAACTTACTGCAAGCCACATTCATCAGTCAGTGGTCAGTGTACTGATAGATAGAGGACATTAGACGATAAATCTCCTTCTCCTTCGAGTTCCAAATACCATGGCCATCACGCTACTACTATATCCAAATCTGGAAGCTTGTGCTGGACAATCAGCTTATAAAACCATGGGCTCAGATCGTGATACAACATGGCGATTGAAAGCAGTGTCTGCGGCTGTGTTCTGCATGCCGCATGATTCCAACCTAGGCTGAATACAATTATATATTTTGTAGAGCCACCTTCTGGATTCTGTCCACCAATTAATGCGCGTCAGCCTGCAGCAGACCTACCACTTCGAGTTTCGGCCCCCAGGACCACTATGAGGAGGCTGTGTAAGCCACAGAGCCATTACCTGTGGCTTTCAGGACACTGTCCCTTTCTCCACGGTCGCTGAACCGTCGTTTGTATCTTCACCCACTCAGATGGCCGAAGTCATTGGCATCGTTGCGTCGGCCATCACCATCGGCGCGAGTGCAGCTCAACTCTCGCTTGCCCTGTTCGATGTAGCACACACAATCAAGAACGCCCCCAAACAGATTGGGGAGATTGGTAGGTATTCCAACCCTCCACACATAGGACGGCCTTCTAACAATAACAGCGGAGGAATTCTCCTTGGTTTCTGAGAGTCTGCAAACACTTGCAGATATCATTCGCGCCAATCAGAACTTGTGCAAGCCAGCGCTTTTTAAAAATACCCATACCATAATTTCACGGTACAAACAAGTCGATGCCGAGATCAAGAAGTTGATAGATACGCCCCGGAAACTGGCAGGACTCCAGTGGTACATCAACAAACCCAAAGCAAAGGGGCTTTTGAAAAAGGTTGAAGGTATCAAAACCGCTCTCATCCTGGAACTGAACATCATACGCCTTGCGAGAGAAGAATTCACTCGTCCGTATGTCTCGTCATTTCGTCGCATGTTAGGTATCCGCTAACCTATGTAGTCAAACTGAAACTGGTCCCAGTATTTCAGTTGGACTTCCACCAAATTTCAACCGGTTTCGAAAAGTGGTAGAGAGCGCTGTTCAGGCCAACCGCAAAGTAGTAGAGAACGCGCAACAGGACGACAAGGATTCCGGTACCGGAAGACGAAAATACACCAATGCAGAATTGGATATATGGAAAGAGGGCTCTTTCGACACTGCAACATGGCTATATCACCTAGTCTTCAGCCCCGACATGCCCGATGCATCTGAGGCAAATGCAAAAAGACGTCGGCTCCACCAAGCCTCTGTTGCTGATGAGTCCCACTCCTCTGAAGAGGATTCAACTTCGCATAAACAAGAAGAAGATTCAGAAAAAAAGTCCATGATTGTATGGAACAAGCAAACCGAACCTGGCTTGGTTGTAGACAGGCTCCTCTCCTCCTGGACTACGTTGTCCTCTGATCAGATCACTCGTAGCGCAGCCAATCAAGATGGCAACGAATGGAGAGAGGATCTCTTGAAAAACATTGAACAGGCGAAAAAGGAAGATGACTTATCTTTCGATCAGTGGGAGCTACAGAACGAGCCAGTGAGATCAGACGACGAAGACTTCAAGAGTTTTGATGATGATTCTCTGAGCGGTATCACTATGCCAACATACAATTTTCACAGCAACACCAGGAATCACCGCAGCCGTAGTGTATCGAAACCGGGTGATGATGATGATGATGATCCGTGGTCCTTCAAGTCTGGCGAGTCGCCGGTACATCGCGATGTACAACCCAATCGGCCCAATATTGTCATTTACAACACTAGTCGCGAATCAAGGCCAAAGCGGTCAACTGGTGAACACCGGGTGAGGTGGGAAGAAGACATGTTACCTCTTGAGCGCGAACGCGAGCGCGAACGCGAGCGTGAACGCCGCCAAAGGTACTCGGGATACACAAGACCTTCGTATGCTGATAACGAAAGCATTACCTCCAGAGTTCATACTATAAGCAGTGATCGGACTGCTTCTACAAAGGGTAGACCTACAAGTAATCTCTCCAGCGCAACCGCATCCAGCCACAATCCATTTGATCCGAGACCTACTCCATGGCATGACCGCTTTGAACGAGTGCCATCATGGGAGGAACCAGTCTCAGCATTTCCACAAGGGTCGTCAAATCCTTTCAGCCATCCTATCGATCCTTGGGCTCATTGGTCCTCTGCCGCACCTCCCTATTATGCTCCTCCTCCTCCACCTGCTCCAATACCACCGCCAACTCCAACTCAATTCCACCCGAATCCATCATTCCAAGATACTCACACTTCTCCTCCCCCTCGTGTTTCTCCAGAGGAGCAGCCAAATGAAGCCGAAACAGCGGCGAAAGAGAAAGCCATCGTGACCGCGATAGAGAAACTGCTGGAAAAACGAAGCCAAGACAATCAGTTGGATCCAAACGAGCCACGCTTCTTGAAACTGGTGGAACTCTTGACTGCACAGCAAGAGCGTGAAGCACAGAATGAACGCGAGCGAGCCAATGCAGCCACCGAAACTCAAATAAAATTGATGCAAGCAATGCATGACAAAGACAACGAACGATTGAAGCAACTCGAAAGCCTTGTTGAAGAGAAAAGGGGTGTAGAGGTGGCGTTACAAACTATGTGGAAGGAAGAAGCTGAGAAAAAAGCCCAAGAAGCGAGAAATTCTGTCATGGAAGAGATGGCTGAGAGGCAAGCATTGGCAGCCAAAGCAAGAGACGCCGAGAGACAAACACAAAAAGAGGCCGAAGCAAGGGCGGCTAGAGAAATAAAAAGACTTGAACGTAATCACCAAAAAGAAATCAAGCGTTATGAGGATTTGCTGCGAGGTTTTCAAGATCAACAGTTGAAGGCAGAACAGGATGCACAACTACCGATACGCCGAACTCGCATTGCTGAAGGTAATCGCAGTGTTGATGTCACGGAGTACTCAACTGACAGACGGAATCCCTTTCTATCATCTTCGTCCAATCTAAGAAACCTTCAGTATGGATTTGCTCAATTTGGAACAAGCCTTAAACCTCCCAATGCCCAGCCTCAGCATCCACGGCACTCACGTCGCAACAGTTTTCGCAGCTCAACTCCATCTTTACAGTCTTCACATGCATCAATAGGGACTGGGAATACGTCTAACGCGACTGAAACCTCCCAGCAGCTGATCATCTTTCCAGCGAAAGCTGATCGAGCATCACGACAAATAACAAAGCTCCAGACGTCGCTTGCTGCACATGGCATCGACTCCACCTTTGAGGACCCGGATGAAGACCCCGGCAATCAAATGATACCCTACAATCACGATGAATCGGGCGACCAGTTGGTGCGAAGTACCATTTTCTGGGAAGCGGCAATGCTGAGCTTGGGAAGCGAGCTTCTATTGACCATGCGACAAGCTGGATGGAGACCAGCGTATACGAGAACTTCTGGTAGGAGTCTTCTATCTCATTCCAATCTCATTGTACTAACATCATTCAGAAAAAGGACAAACCCACTTTCTCGGGAATCAACCGGTGCATGCCTATTTCTTCAGTCCAGACTACAAGCCTCAATTTTCTCCGTCCACGAGATCGTCCTTCAAGGAGACCATTGTTATACAGAAATCCCTGGTGGAGGAATACGCACTGATTGAGTTGGGCTTCGAGTTTGAAGCCAAAGACTCGGGAGTCTACGTCCTAGATGGAAGACTTACTTATGTGAGTAAACTCGGGTGTTGTCGATGAATGCAAGTCTAATATGATATAGAACGACATTGAAAGCCTTGTAGAGAGATCATTTCTGATGAGAGAGAACAATTATCGACGGCTACACCGACAGCTCCAATGGCACTACGACAAAGGTACTAACAAAGCATCCTCAACGCGACACGATAGATCATACACGCCATCAATAGCTTCTACAGCATCCATTTACTCGAGAGACGGCGACCACACATCTTGCGCCGACAGCGATACAGACACTGAAGCCAAACAAAGCTCCAGAGCTACCACCGTCGCTCGCTATGACCATAGTGATGACGACGGCGATCACGTGTCTACGCGGAGTAGAAGCAGCAGAGGCGGGAGCCCGGTCAAGTCGCCCTCGATTGTTTCCTGGGAGTCAAAGTCAACCAATCCCTTTCGTAAACACATGATTCAGGTCAAGGAAATCAAGGATGCTCCAAAGCCGCACTCTCCCAGCGTGAGTATTTGGGATGATCCGGCGCCTGAGCCACTTGTGTAGTGTTCTGATCAGCAGAGCTCACATGGATGTAAATGTAAAAACTCTCTAGTGATAGATAAGTAAGGTATGGAAGAGAAAATATGGCAATCGAAAGGCGTTTTCATGGTACCTACAGGCAATCGGGAACAAGCCTCAATATGTAATATCCTTTGTGGGCTCTGTGTCTATATCAAGATAGTTTCTATTTGTCGTACATCTAAATACCGCTTGAATGTAGCCTACGAGCATATGATTATCTACCTAAGCTGCTCTTTCTTACAGTGTGCAGTGGTTCAATACAAAGATCGCCTGAATCGCTGCTGCCAGGCGCTATCATCCTCCAGGTTGTTTGGGTTAAGACCTTTGTTCAGTTGTTTGATATGTAGCTCATGGCATTCATTCGATATGCTGCTAGCAATATGACATGTTTCCCTGTTCGGCAGAAAGCACAATGAATGTGTCGTGCAGGTAAACACGGCTTACCGAGCTCCTTCCCATCCACTTCTTCTGTTTTGGACTAGGCTGAGGTGAGACTAGCTTGCAGGCTCACCATATAGATACCTGCGCTGCTCCCGTTCCATAGAGGGCAGTGATCCAATACAAACACTACCTGGACCATTGCCACCATGAGATATTCTCCTGCACACAATGCCTTATCAAGAAGAATAAGTGAGAGACAATGCCTCACGTATCACTGTACTCGAATTCACCTCAGTGAAAGCGCTAATGAGACAGCAAAACTCACTTCACCTCAGTACGATCACCGGTCACGGGCTTTTTTTTCACATCTCACTGCGTAAGCCCTCCTCCCGTCCTGCATTTATATACTCGCCCTCCTCAAGGTAAACCATTACATCCCACTCAACCCCACGTTCGATTAAAACTTTCTTTTGTAGCCCACAAACATGTCTTTTTCCAAGCTGTCAACCGAGTTAGACACCAAGATCTTGGAATACCTACACGATGACCGCCCATCTCTCACCGCCATGTCAATGGTATCCAAGTACTTCCGCCGCATAACCGAGCCAATCCTTTATCGTGACCTCTGTTTCCCCGAAATGACAACCATCCAAATGAAGCAACTCCTCACGATAGTTCTATTGCGACCACAGCTCGCAAAGCACGTCCGCAGTTTCACAATGGTACCCAAGAGAAGGAACCCACTCGACCGCACCGACAACACTCCTTCAAAAGAGGAGATGGAGGCATGGAACAATCTCCACCAAGCCAACTACCCCGCCCTCTTCGCGCTGTCCCAAAAGCTGAAAACCTTCCGCCTGAACCCCCAGTTCGTCCAAATCTGGTTCATTCACATCTTAGACTGCGCTTTCTCACACTATCTCGCCTCCCGCGACCCATTTCTCGATCCCTTCCTCGCTGTCTTCCTCATCTTAACCACCAATATCGAAACCATCAACTTGACCGCTACCTTGGGGGAAAGCTTACGGAAATGTCGCGCAATCCTCAGCATTCCTTGGTCTGGTTATCCTGTCGATGGCACACAGCAGGAGAAGGAGCCCTTCAACAAATTATCAGACCTGTGTATAGCAGAAGACAGTTTCTGGGAGAATTTATATGACCGTTCATTTGACGTCTCGATCCCGAGCCGTGTAAAGCGCTTGCGGCTCCCAGGCTGGGACATGAGCGCTCTCCATATGCAGGGTGAGACGATGTTAGCGCTTCAGCATCTGGATTTGCGGCATGTGACTGTTTCCCCTGCAGACCTGGTTCAGTGTTTGCGAACTGGCCAACTCGCTAATCTCCGTCATTTGAATCTGGATGGCGTAGAGGAGCGGGTTGATCCCGCACACGGAGGACACCTTGATATCACTATATTGAGTAGGGGGTTAGCGCAGCACACCCCGTCACTAGAGGTGTTGGAGATGCGAGAGACTGCTTATTCAGTGGTTTATTGCTTCAATATCGGGTCGCTGGTGGAACTGACGAGGTTGCATACGCTGCGGATTGATATCATTCACCTTGTGCTTGCCGGTGGGTCGGGGTACGATGATCCAATTGATCCGCATCGGATTCTTCCGGCGTCGCTGCGGCATCTGGAGCTTACGGAGTTACAGGCGGAGGATGTTAATCAGTATTGCGAGGAGGCGGGGAACGACGAGATACGACCGAATCACACGCAGTTTATCGTCAATACTGTGCGGACGTTTTCGTTACTCGAGTCGTTGAGAATTCACGTCTTTATATACGGTTATAATGCTCCTCATCGCACTATATCCAAGGTCCTGTCAAAAGCGAGTGTGGATCTGCTTCTTGGTCTTGAGAGGAAAGGAGGGGAAAGGGAGTTAGAGATTGGAATACATTCTCTTCCTTGATGAGCGTGACTGAGCATCCATTGCTCTGGATTAAGAAAGTTGTGTGGAACTTTATACCATATTCTGCGGAGTCATCGCAGGATAAGGAACAAACGGGAATGATGACACTCGACAATCAAAAGTCAGTTCTAAAACAAAGAATTTATTGTATAGCATGTACTTTTCAATAATGCAAAAGCTGTTCAACCTCATTACACATGTAGTCTAATCAATGATAATTCTTCGAACATTCTGTAAGGATTTCGTAAAGTCACTTGAGCACACTGCTTTGACGCATGTCCTAGCTTTCGACTGAAGTGAAGCACTCAAGCTCCCAATGCTAACGGACATACCGTCATGATGATATGTTGCAAATGTGTTACGCCCCTTTTTCCATGAAGAAATAGTGAAGGGGTAATTGACACTGCGTTCATATATCGCCGTCTCGGAGAGTAGGTAAGAGATTGGCAACTCCAATACCTCTCGCAGTAATTTTGGCGAATGTCTTAGGGCTACAGCCTCTTACTCGTTCCTCCAACATCACCCAGCACAGGTGCACCATGCAAAAAAACAAAACTCTTTCATTGTCCTATCAAAATGTTATGTACACGGCAGTCCTTCGCAGTGAGAATGCTCCGCCTTTGTTTTCGTATCCGTAATCGCAATCGTTTTTTGTCGCGCGTGCGTAATCGCGGTAGAATTGACACCGACCAGTTTATTGAATCAGAGATGCCGTCAAAGCGTCCGTTATGTAACAAGGTGGGTGTGCCGAACGCTGAAGTCATGCGGCCACATCCAAATCTACCAGCGAACCACTTAAGCACCCGAAGGAGAGAGTTCGAAGGCGGATGAGGAGAGCTGCTCAGCTTATACACGCTAGGCTTTCATCATCTAGAATGCGCTGTTAGCTGGGTTCTCGAATTGTCTGAAAAAAGAGGCGCTTACATTTTACAAACTGGAGGGATAGCGAGAGGAAGTTGGGTCAGGGCTACAGAAAGATTTTGAAGCTCCGAACGATGGTCCATGCGCAACTAGTCCAAATAGAGTTTAGTTGAATATCGGCCTTGGCAGCATATCGAGATTTGGCAGCGAAGGCATTGAACCAGTATCTTCGCATCTAAACAATTTCAGGGTCCAATCGGCCGGCATCTATGAGCATGAGTCTCCTACATGCATCGAAGCATGTAGCAAATCGGGGTGCATGCTTGCGCAATTCCTATGTGGAAATATCCCGTTTCTTCAGACCACGCCATCACGAGATCACGGCGAATCGAGTAACATCGGGGTTGCCAATCTCGATCCGATGCCTTCAGACGTTGCAGCCGACTCAAGAGAATTTTTCACCGGATGAGAAACTCAGAAAGACGCTCGATGACTTCAAGGCGACCAGTATGTTCGCCCCACCAAGTCTAGTTCCAGCACTTATTGAAATGCAGTCCGGTCCTCATGGGAGAAACTTGATAATGCGTGGAACGACGGGCAACTAATTGACCACGATATTGGTCAAGAAATTGAAATTTTTGGGTACATGAGTACTCGACGAGATGTCAGCAGCAAGCTCTCGTTCACTATGCTTCGCAATAAGAACCAGACGTCTTGTATTCAGTTAGTCTCCAGCTCGAACAATCCGGAAGGAGAACAAGCCGAAGCACATGCTCGCCTCCGTTCATTGAAAGAGTGGACTCCAGTCATTGTAAGAGGCACGCTCGCCGAGCGCCGACCAGCAAAAGACGATCACTTCCTCGGCATGAAGTTGGTCACTACTAGGGAAATTGCTGTAACACGCGTAGAGCCACTCAATGAAATTCCTAACGACATAATCATTAAGAACGACACAGTTTTTGGACCAGACCAGCGGCATTTGCAGCTTCGCACAGATTCGGAGCTACGTTCTAACATCCTTCTGAGATCAAAGGCCATGGCTAGAGCAAGACTGAGTTTGATTGAAGTTGATTGGAAAGAGATTGAAACGCCCATTCTTTTCAAGTCGACACCCGAGGGTGCGCGAGAATTTCTTGTACCAACACGTCAAAAGGGCCTTGCATATGCATTGCCGCAAAGTCCTCAGCAATACAAGCAGATTCTCATGGCTTCTGGATTTACGAAGTACTTCCAATTTGCCCGATGCTTCCGCGACGAAGATCTCAGGGCTGATAGACAGCCCGAGTTCACGCAGGTTAGTTCTACTGCACGAATATATCTATCTCCTCTGATGGTTGTCTATAGCTTGATATGGAAATGTCTTTTGCAGACGAAGAAGATGTCATGAGAGAGACAGAGAGGCTGCTAAGGAAACTTTGGCAGCGCGTGCTTAACCTGAAGACTCCTGAGACATTCCCACGAATGACGTATCACGACGCAATGGCATTGTATGGATCCGACAAACCAGATCTACGCTACGAGTCCAAGGTAAGACATGTATGCTGATATACTCATCGACCTGACTTTAACATGTGTAGATACACAACATCACGCAACATCTGACATCCGACCTAATCAGCAAAATTACTCCGCTTGAGAATCCAACCGTCGACGCTATCAAGATCTCCATATCCGAAGACCCAAAAATAACCCGCAAATTCATCGCCAACTTCCTCGACAGCCCAGACGGCAAACCCTATCTCGACAACCCCGACGGACAACCCGGCGTCTTCATCGGCGACCATTCCAAGCCAATGAACGGTCTCGGTCCCCTAGGCCACGAATTCTCCATGGAAGGACCCCAAACCCTCATCCCCGACCACGGCGACCTCCTCATCCTGCAAGCCCGCCCTGCCGTCCCCTTCTCGGGTGGCTCCACCTCCCTAGGAAACCTGCGACTAGCCCTTCACAAAGCAGCCATCGCTCAAGGCCTCGTCGGTGCCCCCGCCAAAGACGACTTCCGCTTCCTCTGGATAACAGATTTCCCACTTTTCACTCCCTCCAGCGACTCCGAACCAGGCCAAGGCGGCACTTCCGGCTTCTCATCTACCCACCACCCATTCACCGCCCCGAAAACACCAGAAGACGTCGATCTCCTCCTTACTTCTCCCTCGGCCGCTACAGCAGCACACTACGACATTGTCGTCAACGGCGTCGAGCTTGGTGGCGGCAGCCGCCGCATTCACTCTGCTCCCATGCAAGAATTCATCTTCCGCGATATACTCCAGATGGCGCCCGAGCGTATCGAGGATTTCAGACACCTGCTCGATGTCCTGCGTAGCGGGTGTCCGCCGCATGCGGGAATCGCGCTGGGATGGGATCGCCTGATGGCGATGATGTGTGGGCGGGAGAGCGTAAGAGATGTTATTGCTTTCCCGAAGAGCGGGCGGGGCGAGGATTTGTTGGTTAAGAGTCCGAATGCGGTTACGAAGGAGCAGTTGGGGGTGTATGGGCTGAGGGTTGAGGAGTAGAAGATGGGAAGCGGGGGGGTTTTGTAGAGTATTTTGTAAAATAGAAAATCTCCTGATGTTAGAATTGAATTATCCTATCCTAATTACGAATCAACTTCAACTCCATCTCAAATCTCTCGGTGCGACAATGCGATTTATCTCCTAGTTGCGACGGGCTCGGCTTAGTACGAGATAGCCGCTAAGATCGCAACCAGGAGATAAATCGCATTGTCGCACCGAGAGATTTGAGATGGAGTTGAAGTTGATTCGTAATTAGGATAGGATAAGATGTGTGAGAGAGAGATACTAACAATACAGCCAATATATATGTATTAGAGCGCTTTACTGCACTACGTGTGCTTATTACAACCATATTTCGTTGTGCGGTTGTCTCATCGCAACCGTAGTTCGCTATTCTACTACCGTGTTGTATTTAGTCATTGTACCCAATAGAAGTGTATTATTACTAAACTCTTCCTTAGGGTTCAAAGCAGGGTCCCGCAGACCCTTTACAAGTTTTTTTTATTTTAATTACAAAGTTATTTTCTTTAAAAAATACCCGATTCTGGTAGGTTGGGGGTGTAGGCCTGCTAATTATTTCAAGGATGATTGATCTGATAGACTATATAGCAAACAGAGATAAACAAAGGGCAAGTAATGAAATCAAAAGTATGTGCATCGTTCACTCCGGTCGTGATACAGTACTGAGTGTTCCCAAGTGGCCCCTCTTCTCATTACTACTTCGTGCACTACTTAACCTTCGTGTCGAATCCCTTGTACCGCTTCTGGAAATCCAATATGTTACCTAGCTCTTTCTGTATCTCCAACCCCCGATCTCTCATGAGATGTTGTACCCCATGGCCCTTAAAATCGCCTTCCCCTCTTCCACATCATCCGGTTCCCAAACCCGCAACCCATACGACTCCAAGAAATCTTTAAAGCTAGGAAACCCCTGAGCCTTGGCTGCCTTGTAGGTAGTTGTGATTTTTGATTTGTCGGGTTCAGAAGACATGTTGCTGGCCTGTCATGTGTATCTTGAAATGTATCTTGAAGTAGGAATAGTTGTGTGAGATGGTCGAGATCGGCATGTAGATAAGACCTTTAATTTGAGGACGGCGAGAAGTGTGGAACGGTAGGAAGAGGCTTCGGAGGGACAACTGCGTTTTATGTCCGGCAAGACATGTCGAAGCGGGGAATTATGAAGAAGCGGGGCGCGGGGAGAGCGGCATGTGATCACGCGTATGGACGCGTCCCCTATTCATACTGCTTTGCACTTGGATACCTTGATCCATTAATCGTTGCGAGGAAAAATCGTTGATGACAACATGCTCGTCTCAGAACCCGAGTACGAGTCCAACGACTCCCAACATGGCACTTGCCAACCATCCGACTTCGTTTCTCTTGTTATCAGCAGCCATAGCTGTACTGGAAGTAGTGCTCAGTCTGCTAGTAGTGATCGCTCCCGGACGTGCAACATCGGTGATGCTTGCCTCGAAGCCCGTCTTCGGCAGAGTAACGGTAGTAGGCACAGCGCTTACTGTAGCGGTGACAGCGACCCCGCTTGAACTGATGGTGACTAGAGTACTTCCAGCAGCATTCGTGGTGATGGCAACCAACGTCTGGTCGGAACTAGGTCCGATGGTGGTGGAGACACCAGGCGTTAGCGCTATTATCGCTGAGCCGAGCGTGATAGAGTTGGGAATGGCTCCTGGTGTAGAGCCTGTGGCACTTGGCATGCTTGGTCCCGGCGTGATGCTATTTCTGTCTGTTTGCAGCACGGTGTCAACGGCAGAATCGCCAGTAGAATCGACGGTGGAGCCTTCGCCCGAATCGCCTGTTCCACGCGACAAGGATGGCGCTGGCTGCGCGTCAAGCCCTGTAGGTTGCGCATCAGGCTGTGGAGGTTGCGCATCAGGCCGTGGAGGTTGTCCATCAGGCCGTGGAGATTGCGCGTCAGATTGAGTTGGTTGCGCAATAGATTGGGTTTGGCCGAGCCGCGAGACTATCTCTGACAGCAGACTGTTCTGTGATGTCTGTGGTGTCTGTTGTGCCTGTTGTGCCTGTTGTGCGTCTGACAGGACAACCCTAGACGGGTCATCCCCTACGGGACTACCCGCATGTTCTTTCTGTGTAGTAGCGGACGGGCCAGATGTATCTTGCGTCACTATGTTGGCTCCCGCCTGGTTCTCCTCTAATTCAAGGCCACCCGCTGCCGAGCTGGGTGTAGCAGTAGGCTCAACACGAGCCACGGTATTCGTCCCACCACGAACTACAGTATTTGTCTCAACATTGATAACCGTTGGGACACTCGAAGTGCGAACGACATCAGTCGGAGTGGTTGGGCCAACGATGGTCCTACCAACGTCGGCGTCGTCAAAGCCTGTGGCCGTTGGAAGCTCTGGTCTTTCCCGTCCGCCACAAGCCCTTGGATTGGCCAAACACTCGTCTGGTATGCTGTTAAGATCATCCGATGGCGTTTCCAAAGCGCCCTCGCTGGTTTGGCCAATGGGTATGGTAGCCGTAGCATTTACGGGAGTATCGATTTCTGGCAAAAGTAAGTCTTGACCATCGTATCCCGTGGCGAGCAGTGACATACGTGGGAAAGCTAGGACAGCACGGGCGAGGACTACAAGAGTCAGGAGTTCAGACGGTAGAAACATCAACATGGTGGCGCGCTACGTATCTGTGTACGACAGCTTGCGGTGGGTGCTGGCCAAGTATTGAGAAGTAAAGGACGAGGCCTCTCGCGCTCTGAATTGCCCCAACCCCTTTCCCTCGGCCATGGTCTGAAAACGTTGAAGTTTGTCAATCATGCCGCAGACAATGCCTCATCCTAGCTAGCCTGAGAGCGATGAATGGCGCGCGGTCACATGCCAAGGCCCATGGGACATTGGCACGCCAGCGCGCACGCCCATCACCATCCATCTCCACACCGCGAACTGCACATTCTGACACCATCTTACACTCTGAGTTCCCTAACCTGTCCCTTGGTGTAGTATACAGCATGTAATCCCCACATCTGAACAAATCCAATGCGATACTCGACTAGACAGTCGAGATCTTGCATGACACAGAAGATTGCTGAGCTGGACGCCTGAAAATCCAATTTACCAGGGGGCAATACCGTATCTCGAGAGATAGCATCGCGCATTGCCCCTCACACAAGAATCGAAGCATGCACAGGTCCTTCTAGAAAGGCTTACGGGACTTTGATGGTTCTGTCAGGGCCACCGTTGGAGCCTAAAAGATACGAAGCACAAGCAAGAGAACGGAGAGCTGGGTCAAGCGGTAGGCACGGACGCGATGTCCACCATGCGAACGCCCTAGCGCTGCGTTTTCTTGAACATAACATGACTAGGTCAAAGCGCTATCGTTAGGGCTGAAAGTACCAACCGCGATAGCCTGGAGCCGCCATTGAATGCCTGGGTGTGGCGTTGGAAGACCGCCCCAAGGTATCAAACAACGTCCCTCCAGGCAACCAGTACGACCTAAGAATTCAGGTGACCAATATCATCAAACTTGAGTCAGACCACAGATGCTTGTCGCAGGCCTCTCTGAAGACCTTGAGAATATCTGGCACACTTGGCAGTTTGCATTGCGAAATGGCGCACCCAAAAAGCACCAGAGCATAGCCTCTCTGGAGTTTCGCCTGATACCACACTCCATCTCATACCTCCATTCTCTGGGCACAGGAGGGTCATAGTGTCTGGTCAGCCTGAACGAACCAATTGTCAGCCAGAAGCACCCCCGACTTGAATGGAAATCTAGCAGATTCCATGATGATTGAAACATTACAAGCTACGATGAGCCAGCCGCCTGAAAGCAAGGAAACTCAGTAAATTTTACGAACACACAAGAGAAAAGTGTGCAGTTTTGCAGGCAACTGCCCGAGTATCGGCCGTTGCCGTCATGTTCTCTTCGTTTGTTCACAGCGACCGGCCTGCGACCATCGAGTTTCCGGCCCCCACACTTGCAAAGGACCACAGCCCCATTGCCGCGACCGCAACTTTGTTTGCACCAACCCCTCACATGTTCACTGCGGAAGGGTTTCATGAGTGTGCAAATAGCTAAGAGGCAACTGTTAAGCCTCAGTAGTTTGGCGGTGAGATCATTATCGGTAAGCCATAGTTCATGCAAAAGGGCGTTCAAGAGGAGGCGCAGCCAACCATAGTGTGCTATCACCTGCATCAGCCACACTGGCGAGCCACAAAAAAGAGGCGGTGCTAGTTCATTGTCCACGGGTTGTGTGGGTCCATGCTGGCCAGGTATGATGTCGTTCAGTGTGTAGGCAGTTGAGACATGCGGTCGGATGGTATATAGAGGATGTGACTACACGACTGTGTCCTTCACCCTCTTCTTACTGGCACAACTATAAGTATCCTCGACGCAGCTGTAGTTGCAGACACGAATTTCTCAGAACAACTTCAATACCACCACCTCTTCAAGTCATTTACCATCTAATCTCAGAAGTACTAAGGCAGCCTTACAAGGCAACCACAATGTCTTACCTGCACTTCTCTCACACTCATGCGCGCGAGCGCACTCCTGAGAAGGAGCCTTACACTGGGCGCCCTCTTTTGCGCCGCAATACCTACAAACGAGACCCCAGCATCACGCTCTCGGATCTCGACGACGGCCATGATGACTACCCATACCCCGCCAACCACAAGTCCAACAAGATCTCCAGCGCCCTGACGGTCCGCAATCGACCTTCTCAGCTGGAACGCTACAACATCTTGTCAAACGACACACGTAACAACGAAGACGACGAGAGACTATACAGCTACGACAGGCACCGCACATACCGGTACTCGGACCGTCGCCATCATAGCGATGACGAAGACGCAGAAGAACGTGCTCTTCGACTCAGGATCAGTGCTACCTTGGATCGACCCAGCACATCCTATCACAACTCTCACGGGTCTCACCTCTGGCCTAGCGAGACGCTTCACCGCAGTGACAGATGGATTGATGAGGCCTGGGAGACCCGTGAGCGGTCTCTGTCTCGGGAGCGCACTAGGGTCCGGCGAAACAGCTTCTGGGGAGGCTTTGAAGAGAAGGAGACGGAGACGCAAGATGAACGATGGAGCAGGTACCACCGAGTTAGCGATACGAAGACGGAGGAGATTCGCCCGCTGAGTGGATGGCGTCGCCGCCGGATTGTTGGAGGGAACTAAGGTTGGTGATATGAATCAGGGATGTTTCCTATTGGGAGTATAAAGGAGTCTTCGGGTTAAGTGTTCTTGACTTTCGGCTAGTTTTGACTTTCGATCGGTTTTGGCTTTCGACTGTTTTTGACTTTCGTCTGCTTTCATAGGCACCGGATTTCCTTAAGACGCTCGTTTCCAACAGTAAGGGTGGGGATACACAATGGTTTTTGTGCTGTGTTTGAGATTATTTCCTACTTTGTATAGATAGTTTTCATTTGTAATTAGATACCCAGAACAATATGAATTAGTATAAGAGAATTCAGGTTTTACTTAGTGACGATGGTTTGAAGATGCGGGGGTCAATGATAAGATCAGACGAGGGGCGCGCACGGGCCTGACGACGCATTGTTTGGTTTGGCGCTTGTCGTGTTTACATGCATCGACACTCCCGTCCCGAACCACGACAACCACACTCCAAATTTCACAACCACACCATGGCGCAATCAGACGCCCAAGATAATATTGCCGACGGCCTCATCGCTAATGGCTCATTCAAGGCCCCCGCACAATCACCAAAGAAATCAGGGTTGTCGCCCAAAAAGACTGCGCGCAAGACGCGTAGCAAGAGTATTGGTCCTGGTGGCCTGGAAGAGTTGGAGGCACCACCCCTGAAAGAGGCTGCGGGAAACAGGAGAAAGGTATTTCGAGTGTATGCGACCAGGAATGTATAAGTTACTGACTGTTTAGTCTGCCTTTATCCCCGCAGTCAAGTCAATTCTTGCCTCTAATGGCGAGGATGAGAAGAAGCGGCGCGAAGCCCGTCGCAAGTCTTTGGGTAAGATTGGTAGTCTTAAAACTGTAACAGTTACGATGTTAATTACTCTTAGCAAGGAGACGCGTCTCGTTTGCCCCAGAAGCCACTTTACATACGTGGGATGTAGTCGAGTACATGCGCGATGCGACCACTTCCTCCGCCTCATCAGAGGCCACCCGAAGAGCCTCGAACGTCTCCCAGGCATCCACACCCGCATCGCCTGCCCCTCCTTCAGACCCCGCCGAGCCGCCTTCTACACCACCAGAGCAGGCCGAAGAGCCTGAGCCTGAGCCCGGTTCTTCGCCTGCGAACCAGCGATCGCAACACCAGAAGAAAAACCGCAGAAGTTCTGGAATACCGCCCATGAACTTCAACAACCCAGATGACGCCTATTCTTCAAGCCCTCTGAGTGGAGACAACGCGTCACCTGGCGGCGACAACGGCAGCAGTGATTCCGAGAGTGACGACGATTTGACAGCGAACCTGGGCGCTTCCCCAGACACAGAAGACTCTTCACAGAGCAGCGCTCGCTTAGACGCTGCACTCCGTGAGGCTGCGAACCAGGCAACTACTCAAAGACTGGACTTGGACGATGAAGACGAAGACGAAGATGAGAACGGAGATATGACCATGGACATTGCACAAGACGAAATTACTTCCGCTTTCAAGCCATGGGCGAAGAAGAGCTTTGTCACCGAATACGACAAGGAAAACGCTAGCCCTGCCTTCTCACCAGCACGTACGGTGGTCGAGGATGACGATATGAGCATGGATATCACACGCGCAGTGG